CCAGCGCCAACACTTTCTGGCTGTGTTACCTCAGGCAAACTTCTTATTCTCTCTGTGCCTCTGTGTCTCCCTCTGTGAAATGGGGATAATAATAGTAACTTACATCACAGGTGATGGCATCATACATGGCTGGCACATGAAGTGTTAATGTTTTATCATACACAGGCTCCTAATGGAGCAATGGAGCTGGCCCGGGTTCCACAGTAGGAGCCTCAATTTTGTCCTCTATGGAATGAGGAGAATAAAGATATTGGAGGGATAATAGGCAAGGCAAAATGCCTCCGCGTGTTTTTGAACTGGCTCTGCCTCGAACCAGATGGATCAGGATCACCTTGAGCAAGTCTTATCTCCTCTGAGGCAGACCCTTCCTTCCCCACGAGCAAAACCTGGCTGTTGTTTGCCCTTCTCTCTGCACCACCGGCCTCCAGGAGAGCCCCCCAGGAAAGCCCCGCCCCAGGAGAGCTACCCTCTAAGAGAGCCCCGCCCCAGGAGGGCCCACGCAAGGAAAGCCCCGCCCCGGGAGAGCCCCGCCCCAGGAGGGCCCACCCACGGAAAGCCCCGCCCCAGGGAGCCCCGCCCCAGGAGAGCTCGCCTCTAGGAGAACCCCGCCCCAGGAGGGCCCACCCACGGAAACCCCGCCCCGGGAGAGCCCTGCCCCAGGAGAGCTGCCCTCTAAGAGAACCCCGCCCCTGGAGGGCCCACCCAAGGAAAGCCCCGCCCCAGGACAGACTAGCCCCAGGAGAGACCCCCCCACCCCCGGAGAGCCCCGCCCCAGGAGAGCCCCCACCACCCTACGCCCTTACCCCCCACCTCCACCCCTGCTCCAGAAGAGGCCTTGTTCCCTTACCCAAAGGTTGGTTTAGAGAATTCTGGCCAATGGGAAGCGAGAGGAAGTCTGCGGGGAGCGCTGGGAGGGTCTCACATCTCTTAAAATGGGCAACAGGGAAGAGAGAGTTCGTGCTTGCCTCCGGATGCCATCGTGGGTCCCTGGCACCTTTGCAGCCATTTGGGTACTGTGAGAGAGGGATGGGCCAAGGCGCCAAGAAAGGAGCTCGCAGAGAGAGTAAGAGCCGTCCTGACGGCCTGCGGAGTCCCTGGATTACCGAGCTGGAATTCGCCAAATCTAGAATTTTGCGGGTTTTGTCAGATAAGTCTTTATCGTATAAACCATGTGGGCGGGCTTATCTGTTACTTGACGCTGACAGAATCCTAACAGATAGACTCTCCTGAGCTTCAGTTTTCTTATCTATAAAATGGAGATGATAATTCCCACCTCACGGTTGCTATAAACATTATAGGCGGGCACGTGTGTGAAAAGTCCAGGGGCCTCTCTGCAAAACCAGAGGCTCCCTCTTGGGGTTTTTTTCCACGAGGCCCAGGACCAGGTGCCTCTGGGGAGCCTGGCTGACTCACTTTCTCCTGCTGGTCTGGCCTCAGCCCCCCAGGATGCCTCCCAGGCTGGCTGGGTGTTCCCCATGGGGCCAGCCGGGCATCGCCAACGCAGCTGTCACCCCCAAGCACACAGTGAACCAGAGTAAGCCAGGGGCCCTGTGCTGCTGCTCTTCACAGACACGCGGTGGCTAGGAGGCTGGACTCAGAGGGAGCCAGACCTTGGGTCTGAGTCACAGCTGTGCCCTGGCCAAGATGTGTCATCAGACAGTTACATTCACTGCCTTATGTCTCAGCTGTTTGGTCTGTAAACTGGGAATAACAGTGGCACCTGCCTCCCAGATGCGATCAAATGAGCAAATGTGGTCAGGTGCTTGGCACCAGTGAGCAGCTTGGCCATAGCCGCTCCCTTCATCCTTGACTCCCTAGCTTGGCCACGTACACCTTCTAGCTCCTTCAAAGCCTGTGACTTCAGGGATCATCTCGCCCAACTTCTTTTTCTTTCCTTCTTGCTTTCTTGCCTGCTTGCTTTCTAAAAATTTTAAAAAATTTCTTTTAATGTTTTATTTATTTCTGAGAGAGAGAGAGAGAGAGAGTGTGTGTGAGCAGGGGAGGGTCAGAGAAAAAGAGAGATACAGAATCTGAAGCAGGCTCCAGGCTCTGAGCTGGCTGTCAGCACAGAGCCCAATGCAGGGCTCGAACCCACAAACTATGAGATAATGACCTGAGCTAAAGTCAGACGCTTAACCGACTGAGCCACCCAGACACCTTTGAAAAATTTCTTTTTAATGTTTTTATTTCTGAGAGAGAGAGAGACAGCATGAGCAGGGGAGGGTCAGAGAGAGAGGGAGATACAGAATCCAAAGCAGGCTCCAGGCTCTAAGCTAGCAGTCAGCACAGAGCCCGATGCAGGGTTTGAACCCATGAACCGGGTTTGAACCCATGAACCGTGAGATCATTACCTGAGCTGAAGTCAATCACTTAACTGACTGAGCCACCCAGGCACGCTTTCTTTCTTTTCTTTCTTTCCTTCCTTCCTTCCTTCCTTCCTTCCTTCCTTCCTTCCTTCCTTCCTTCCTTCCTTCCTTCCTTCCTTCCTTCCCTTTTCCGTAGTGCAACTCTTTAGATAAAACCTCATGTGAAGGAACATTCTAGGTGCTTCATTTATAATAGCTAAAAACTGAAACAATGCAAGCTGCCCTCAACAGATCAATGGATGAAGAAACTGGCATTTCCATGCGAAAGAATACCACTCAGCATTACAGAGGGATACGCCACTGATACGTGTGCCAACAGAGAGGAATCTCAAAGTAATTATACTGAGTACAAGAAGTCAGACAAAAGAGAGCACACACTGTAGGCTTCCGTTTACATAAAATTCTAGAAAATGCAAACTGGGGGCACCTGGGTGGCTCAGCCGGTTAAGTGTCCGACTTCCGACTTCCGCTTAGGTCATGATCTCATAGCTTGTGGGTTTGAACCCCGAGTTGGACTCTGTGCTGACAGCTCAGAGCCTGGAGCCCGCCTCAGATTGTTTCCCTCCCTCTTTCTCTCTCTCTCTCAAAAATAAAAATAAACATTAAAAAAAAATTTTAATAATAAAAAAAGAAACTGTTTCTCCAACAGCCCAGGAAGAGGGAGCGAGGGGCAGCACAGGTGTGGGAGGTGGCTCTTGTGTGAACCCAGGACGAGGCTCAGGCCCCAGGACCGCCGTATGCCAGTCCCTTCGAGCTAAGGCTCCTTATTTCGCACTGCAGATACTGAGGCCCAGAGGGGGGAAGGGACTGAACCGGAACTGGAGCCCAGGCACCCTCACCCCAAATCCGCCCCTCCAGAGGGCTGGGAAGTGGGTCTGGTTTCTCTTGGTAGGACGGGCCGTGGGGGCCGGATCTGAGGCTGGGTCCTGATCAGTGAGGCCAGAGCAGGGCAAAGACAGGGGCTGAGGGGGGAGTATAGCCAACCCATCCAGGCCTTTCTAAGGCTGATGCTGGGTCAGGCGATGACAGATTTCTTCACCAGTGAGCCCTCTGGAACGCTTGGAACTCAGTGGTGACAGTCCAGAAGTTTCCCTTCCCCTAGAGGGCCCTGGAATGGAGGGAAAGTTCTAGATAAGCACCCAGGGCTTTGGCCTTCCATCCTGCCCTGGCTTCTCTCTCCCGGGGACTTCATGTGTGCAGGCTGTTTCCGCCCCTCTGGGTCGCTCGGCCCGCCCTGGTGAGCCTGCCCACTTCCTGCTCCAGCTCCTCGGCTGAGATTGAGGAAAACAATGGTCTCTGACATTTAGACAACTCTTTGCAGTCCCCCAGGAATGCTCACATCCTTCTTCACTAAAAATGTTCCTCCCCAATCCCCACGATTCAGGTAAGAATCCTTATCCCCATTTCACAGATAAGAAAACCGAGGCCCACAGCGATGCATGGTTTGTCCTGGCCGCGGATTAAGCCAGGGCTCAGAGTTTGTTGAAGACCCTAAGGCTGCGGCCTAGCTCTGCTCCGGCCGATTCCTACCCTTGGGCCCCTGTAAATACCAAGAGGGAGCATCACGGGATGCAAAGCACGGACTCAACTGCTTCCTTTTGCTGCATTTTCTGTAGTTCCTTCACCCTCCGGGTTTCAGTTTCCTTATCTGTAAAAATGGGTAATAATAGTAACCACCCATTAGGGTTGACATGAGAATGAACACGAGGGTCACACATGAGGCACTTGGCACGTGGTGGGCACAAGGCACTCAATGAATGACAGTGGCTGTTTTATCCCAGGCCCTGGAGGTGAAACCATGTCTGGCCTGCGACTCTCTGCCTCGTCCCGGGTCCTCACGGGCTGCCCAGGATACAGTGGGATGGCAGATGGTGGAGGGCACGCGGTGTGTGGATTTCTCTCGGCCGTGAAATGAATCACCACACAAAACCCGACTGTCTGAAGTGAGGCTTCCTCATATTTCCCGTCTCCTTTGGACAGAAGGGAACTAAGATCTTAAAGCATCTCAGACACGTGAATTCCAATCTACTTTCGTAAGGGAGAGAACCTTGAGGCCCAGAGAGGTGCAGGGACTTGCTCACGGACACACAGCAAGGCAGGGTGGAGACGGGTCTAGAATTCTTGTCATTCCTCTGTCTCCCTCCCCTAAAGACTGACCAGGAGAAACCTGGAGACTGTTGCCAGATGTTTAAGGGCAAATCCAGGGTGTAAAAGTCATGTCTTAACAGAAGCACCAAATGGAAAGATGAATTATGTTGGGTCAGGAGTCAGGAGAACAGCGTGGTTTTCCCAGAGCGTCTTCCCCGTGGTCACGGTCAGGGAGCATGTACTTTGTTGTAGGATAAAGGACCAAAGGCACAAAGGGGCTGTCCTTCGTCTCCTGGAGCCTGGGCCCAGCTCTCAACACTGCACTTCAGAGGGACACAGCCAAACAAGGCAGATTTAGAGGAGATGAGGAAGATAAAAGTACTTCCCCCTGAGGCACTCGGGGTATTAATTAGGGCTCTTTCATTTGCATGGATCAGAAAACCCAAACTAGCTTAACCAATAAGGGGACTTAACTAATACTAATGAACTAATTACCTAAGTAGTATGTATCAGAAAGTTCGAGAACGGTTCTCAGGTATGAGCTGACCCAGCAGCTCATGTGTTAGCACCGCAATGATGATTTAAAACTAGTCTACAGTTTTGACACTTTGACACTCCCTTCAAAGGAAGCCTAATTATCCGGTCCTTGAATTGTGGGCTGGACTTAAGTCACTAGAGCCTAGAAAAAAAGTGGAAATGACAGTACACAACTTCGGAGAGCGGACCATAAAAGGCACTTGCCTCTTTCTTTCTCATCATTCACTCTGGTGGAAGCCGTCTGCCTCAGAAAGGACCTCCTGGTGAGGAACCGAGGCCTCCTGCCCGCGGCCGTGGGAGTGCGCCATCTTGGAAATGCATCCTCTGGCCCCAGTCAAGACTTCAGAGGAGTGTGGCCCTAACTGACCTCTCCCTACAAACTCATGAGAGACCCTGAGCCAGAACCGCCCATCTAGGCCTCTTCTAATTCCTGACCCTCAACCATGTGGAGTGATTTGTTGCACAATAGTTGGGTAAGTGATACCACGGACTGGCTTCCATTTCCCCCCGCAAAGTCTCTGGGCTCCGCCTTCCTCTGTATGCGGGCCTCATCCTCAAAACGAATCCTCTTTTGGCAATGACTGTGCTTCTGCCCTCATATCGCCGCCCCAGCTTGTCCGGGAAAGCAGGCCCAGCTACTCCTCTGGACAAATCACTGGCTGCGGCTTAAGTGTCCCCTGTTGTCACTGGGGAGTGTGGTGACGTGTGGCTTGGCCTAAGCCCTCTGAGCCCACCCTGGAACTGGAGGTACTACCACCGTCACCCAGTCACACGGGCTTCCAGCAGGGCTGAACATGGCTCTGAGGGCGGGAGAGACCGGGAACCGATCTGGGAAGCTGCGTAACAGCCCTGATGTCAAGGCAGTGGTGGTGGAATGCTCAGGAACAGGAAATTCCCCACAGGCCCCTGAGCATCCTCCAGGGTATGGGGGTAGCATGGCTTGGAAGTTGAGGTGTGGGCTCTGGAGTCAGGCAGGATCCAAATCCTGGTGCTACTGCTCACCAGCTTATGTGACCTGCGTTGCCTCAGTTCCTTCATCTGTAAAATGGGGCTGGGGTGCCCAGGAACACAGGTGGAAGACAGAAATGCGGTGCAGTGAAGATTTGATAAATAAGTCCTATTATTCAAAATATTCACCGAGTGCTCACTACTGCTCAATTGTCTCTTGCCCGGGCCAGACCAAGAGGCACCCCCAAAGGAAGAAACTATGGTCGTGTCTTTGCCTTGGTAACCCCAGTGCTGGGCACGCAGGCAATACACGTGTGCACGGCTGAGATGAGTCATTTGGAAAAGGGAGTAAATGTTCTTTGAGGCTCCAAGAGACAGAGACAGAGCTAAGCCCAAGGCCAGTGCATGCACGTTTTAGGAATCAGAATGCAATTTGCTCTCACTTTTTTTTTTTTAATGTCTGTTTATCTTTGAGAAAGAGACACAGTGCAAGCGGGCGAGGGGCAGAGAGAGGGAGACACAGAATCCGAAGCAGGCTCCAGGCTCTGAGCTGTCAGCACAGAGCCTGATGTGGGGCTTGAACCTTCAAACCATGAGATCATGACCTGAGCTGAAGTTGGATGCTTCATGGACTGAGCCACCCAGGCGCCCCTAAAGGAGAACTTTCAAGCACGAGTAGAGCTAGCCATAGGTGTACATGAAAACAAAATGAAAGACGTATGTGCTGAGACTAAGCCTGTTTGCATGTCCTGTCTCCTTCAATCCCCACAACCTTAGGAGGTAAATACTATTATTAGCCCCATTTCACAGGGCTAATAATAATAATAATAATAATAATAATTTGCTAACCCTTTCACCAAATGAGTGCCTTGTCTATGCCAGGCCCTGGGGATCCACTCACACTGACCCGGCAGTCAGCCTCTGAGCACTGGGGCCTCCCGCGGCCAGGAAGAAAGACAGGGTTGGCGGGGAAGGGAAAAAAGGAGTGGGAGCGAGGATTCACCTCCAGGGCGTCTGCTCCCGCTGCAGGCACCTGGGACCAGGGCGCCACCTGGTGGAAGAATGTTACAAAGCCGCTGAAACAGGCCTTAAGAGACCCGGAGATGGATGCGAGGTTGAGGGACACATGAGTGTCGCAGGGCTGGGTCAGGAACCCTTGCTCAGCGTTGCAGACCCTTCTGGGCACCGTAAGACTGTACAGAATGTGAAACGACGTTAAGAACTTCTTTCCCCTCTACGTTGTAAATTCTCCGAGATCACGATGTATCTTTACAAATGAATGGGGCGCATAGTGTAAGAGATGGCAATGAACCCTACGCCAGCCCCCAGGATTTGATCAAACAAGGCCTAACTCCCATTGGTGAAGTCCTGATGTGCCAGCCACAGGCTGAGCCCTTCCCATGTATCGTCTTACTGAATCTGTGCCCAACTTACAGAAGAGGAAACGGAGGCTGAGGGGGGTGAAGGTACCTGCCCGGTCCCCATGTCCATGGTGAAGCTGTCTGCAGAACACTATTCCTGTGCCATTTCTGCACCCGCCTTGCTGTCTTGGTCCTGTCTCCAGTCATATGGTTTTATCATCACCTGACTGGCCCTCCGTTCCCACCCCTTTCCTGTCACATGCCTTGAGCTCCAATGGGGGCAGGGACCACATTTTGTTCATGTTAATCCTCTCCCAAACCCTTGAAGGGGCCCACTATCATTACCAGTTTTCCTATAGAGCTAAGGGTTTAAATAAAGAGAGGCATCTAAAAATCTTCTTAAATCACTAGGTAAGAAGTATACAAAAGGGAGAAGTATAGCTGTGTTCTGCTGTGGGCACAGGGGGATTTATCTAATTTCCAAATAAATGTCCTGGTTATAGGACACATTTATAATGGACTCTGCAATTTTAGTTTATGATATGCCCCATGAAAAAAAAAGGATTATTAAACATTAAGTATATATGGTATGACCCTGATATGTACTTATAAATAGTTAAGAAAAAAGCCTGCTTTGTTCCATATCTTAGAGGAGGGAAGCTCACTGGGCGCTGGGTGTAGTCAAGGAGAGAACTTGACCTGACACTGATGGCCTTGATTCTATTAGGATGGTAGGATTGCCAACAATTTGTTTTTCTATTTTTGTTTCCCAAATCCTCTGTGAAGTCAGCATATATTTTCCTTCTAATTAGAAAACATCATCTTAAATACATTCCTAAGTCCAAAAACGATTTGGACATTAGGAGACGAGAGACGACATTCCAGAGAATAGCAAGAGAAAAACAAGAGAATGGAAGTGGGAGATCACAGGATAGGAGCCCTGACCCGGCCTTGAGGACCTGGCAGGTGCTCGGCAAACGCTGGCTGCTTGGGTAGATGCCACCGGTCTGGGTGGGCTTCTCCCTCCAGGTGGGGCTGAGACCAGCTAGACTTACTACCTCCCACGGGGTCGTGCTGGCGATGTGGGCCAACACCTCCCTGCTTAAAACTCCAGAAGGGTCCCTGCCTGGTTGTGCCCTAGGGAGGCTCTTGGAAGAACAGACGTTGGACTCTTGGGATTCATGAAGTCGCGTATGTGTCCAGATGGGCTTTTCCCTTCACCGTACCCCATGCGCACCAAAGTCTGTTCCACCCCTGCTTCTGAGGCACTTGGCTCATCTCCCTGGATCTGCTTCCTCCCATCACAGTATCAAGATGGGTGCCATTAACAGCCCCCAGGTGAGGCAGTGAGATGAAGGGGAAAGGACCTGGGGGAGCATATTTACTTCGATGTGCGGGACCCTGGGGGCAGGGTGTTCCTCCTTGTGGACTTTTTCTGTAGAAGACAAGGGCTAGGCTACATGGGTGGCTTTCACACGGTTTGGGGTTGCAGATCCCTTTATCCAAACAGAACCCAACAGGAAAAGCCCAAAGTTAAAAGAAAAAGAGTATGTATCTGTACATACCTAGATATCGACATATTAGAGTCAAGCACCTGCAAGGCTTACCTTGATCATCTCTCACTCCTCCCACAAAGGTAGTTTAAAACCAGCAGCCGCGATTTAGAGAAAATCTGAACCGTAAATTCCCCCACTTAGGGTGCCGCGGGACAGGTTAAAAACTGGTGGCCCAGACGATCGGCGCAAGGCAGTGGCTTTCCATTTCGTGGACTATGAATTAGACTACATTTCACGTTGTAGCCCAGTCACACATACATATGCACACGTGGGAACACGCACGGCACAGAACAATACTTAGCCTGCTACAATTCACAGCCAAGTTTACTATTTTTTTTTTTTTTAATGCTGGTTGTGATCCAGTGATTGTAAAATTATAAACCCCTACTAGCTCTCAACCTGCAGTCTCCAAAACGCTTCCTTAAAGTAGTTCCCACGGGAGGGTTTATGACTGCTCCATCCGGGTAGCAGAATCCACAGCCCTCTACACATACGCCGCCTCCCTCAGGAACCTTGGGAGCATGCTGGCTGCCCCTCCCCTCTGATACACCTGAAATAAAAGGGGATCTTGGCAAAAACCTCTTACGATACACTGGACGGATCTACTGAGAAAAATATTGAGTTCTTTATCGGACGGTAGGAGGGATGATATTTTTTTAAAAAGTTTGAACCAAACCCAAGAGCCGGACGCTTAGCCAACTAAACCACCCAGGTGCCCAGGGAAGGACAATATTAACTAGACCTGCATCTACTCTTTACCTTAAGTCACACTCTGAGTCTCCTGATCTTTATAAAAAGGGAACTACTTTTTGTTTGTCCATGGTCCTCCAGCCCCAACCTGCGCAGACAAAGCACTTTACAAATGAATTATTAGCGCTACCTCTATAGACCCTGAGTTCTGGATCCAAACCTACAGAAATCCCAGAAAACTTCTCATGCAGATACGAATCAGCTTAAAAGGCTGCTGTGGTGTACCAACAAATGAAGAGATGCTCAACGTCACAGCCATCAGGGAAATGCAAACCAAACCACAGGGAGATACCACTTCACACCCACTAGGCTGGTTATAATCAACTGACATGTAACAAATGCTGGTAAGGATGTGGAAAAATTGGAACTCTCATACACTCCTGGTAGGAATGTAAGATGGTGCAGCTGCTTTGGAAAGGTCTAGCAGTTTCTAAAAAAGCTAAGTTACCATATGATCCAGCAATTCCACTCCCAGGTATATATGCCCAAGAGAAAACATGTCCACATAAAAACTTAACATGCAAATGTTCTTAGCAGCTTTATTCTTAATATCCTGAAAGTGGAAACAGCCCAAACGTCCAACTGATGAAGGGATGAACAAAATGTGATATAACCACATAAGAGAATACCATTTGGGGAAAAAAAAAAAAAGATGTACTGGGGTGCCTGGGTGGCTCAGTCGGGTGAGTGTCTGACTCTTGATTTTGGTCATAATCTCACGATTTGTGGGATCAAGCCCCGTGTCCGGCTCTGCGTACTGACAATGTGAAGCCTGCTTATGATTCTCTCTCTCAAAATAAATAAACTTAAAAAAAAAAAAAAAAAAAAAGCACCATCACACTGAACCTTAAAACATTATACTAAATGATGGGGCGCCTGGGAGGCTCATTCGGTTAAGCGTCCAACTTTGGCTCAGGTCATGATCTCACGGTTCGTGGGTTTGAGCCCCATGTTGGGCTCTGTGCTGACAGCTAGCTCAGAGCCTGGAGCCTGTTACAGATTCTGTGTCTCCCTTTCTCTCTGCCCCTCCCCTGCTCATGCTGTCTCAAAACAAAAACAGAAAACATGCTAAACGAAAGCAGCCAGACACAAAGGGCCACATCTTGTAAGATTCCGAGGAAATGTCCAGAATAGAGGGATCTATACATAGGAAAGTAGTTGTTAGGGGCTGGGGATGAGGGGACTGTCAGGAGAATGGGAAGCGAATGCTACTGGGCAGCAGGTTTCTTTGTAAAACAATGAAAATGTTCTGGAATAGACAGTGGTGGTAGTTAGCACAACTTTATGAATATGCTCTATACCAAGGAGTTGTACACCTTAAAATAGGAAATTTTATGTGGAGTTACAACAACAAAAATTGCATTGAATAGGGCTGTGATCGGTTAAAATCTCTTGTAGATGAGCAAACTACAATTTGCCATTACTAAATGGATACGTTATTAGCTAAAAAAACGGGGACCCTCTCTTTGTGCTATCATTGCATTATATGTATTAACTAATATATTAAAACAAGACCTTGAAACCACTCTGAGGTAGATTCCACTGTTAACTCCCTCATACAGAAGAGGAAATGGCAGCACTTAGGTCAAGTATAACTTGATCAAGGTTACAGAGAAAGTTATGGTTGAAACCTTGGTCTACCAGTCTGTGCGATGTTCTGTCCACTACAAGTTGTTTGCACCGTTACAGTCCCAGCAAGCAAATACTCCTTGAGGGGAGCAATCACTATCTTTTGATCTTCTTTACCTCAAACCCTCATTGCACCTGGTAGGTACAGAGAGAAGTCGATTCAATTCATTCATCTGTTCATCAGATACTTGTGCTTCTGTGTAGCAGGCACTGGGAACATGGTCACGAACAAGACCAAAGTTCCCAGGGACCAGAAGCATATCACTTCAGGTACTAATAATTGCTATACATGAAAACAAAGAAGGGGAGTTCAGGAAGACTGAGGAAAACCACGTAAGGAAATAAGCCACAAGGTCAGGAGCAGTGTCTCCCAGGATGAAGGAACAGTGGGTATGAAGGTTCTGAAAGAGAAACCAACTCTGATGGGTCACATCCATCACTGAAGGGTGGTGACGAGGTTGCCAAAGCAGATTCAACCCAGTGTGTCAGGCCTTGCAGGCCACAGGGAAGATCTGGATTTTACTCAGGGGCAGAAAGCTATCAGAGGGCTTTGAACGCTACTATGATCTGACTTGGGTCACTGGGAATGGAATGCCCTTTGTGTGCGTCAATACTGGAGAGCAAACAATACAGCTACTAACAGTACTAACTCAAACTTTGAGTAAATGAAGGCGACATGGACCGAGATAAGGTGGGGATAAGATCAGAGGATGGTATCAAAAAAATGTCTATTTCGGATATGTTCAGTATCACTTTTAGACCTCCAAATTGAGTTAACAAGTAGGTAGCTGGATGGGGTCTAGGTCAGAGAGGAATTCAGACTAGAATGTAATTGGTAAACCAACAGAAAGATGACGTTTACAGTCTAGGGATGAGGGATTAAATGTAGAGAGATCCACCAAGGGCAAAGACAAATTTCCATCGCTTTGGATTTGAAAGGAGCCATTAGATATAAAAGGACCAACTAGTGAGACGGGAGCACAACTAGGGTGGAAACCAGTGTTGTCTCCTAGAAGCCAAGTGCAGCCTTTCAACAAAGGCCTGAATGACTGAGCCAAATCCAGCTAGGGACCAGTAAAGGATCAAGAACTGATCTTTCAGTTTGGCAGAATAGAGGCTACTGCTGACCTTCCCGAGCCATTTCATCAAGTGGAGGAATGAGGGCATACTGAATGAATGGAAAAATCGAATAAATGGATTGAATGAAGGAATGGCTGGCTCCATAGGTATAAGTACCCAAGTGATGCTCACCAGCTAGCTCACATTGGAAGGGATTAAGTCATCAACGACCACTTTAGAAACTATGTATTGTGCACTTTCCTTAAATAACAGAATTATAAAATCAAAAGGAAGTCACGTGGAAGATCCTAAGACTTGTTACAGCACACACACAGATCCTGTTATCAGACTTTAAGTTCACTACAGAAGTAGCTTTGTAAATTAAGCTTTTGCCTCTTCACAAATTACTCCAAACACCCACTGTAAAAAAAGCCCCTTTATGATCATGTCATTCAGGTAGAAACCATCCCACTGCGTTTTCCAGAAGTTAAGAGGTGGAGGCATTTCCTATGTGTGGGCGTACATAGATACTGCTCTGCTTGAAGTGCCTAGTCAATACTGTCCTGTCCATTTATACACTTTCCCTTCAGAGCACTTACCACATCAATTAAAATAAAGATGGCAGAATAATTAATAACTTTACCGCCTTTTACTTCCCTTGCTCAACCCTCAGTGTGTCAAAGGTGCCAAGAGAGTAAAACATAGGCTAAACTCTAAGATTTGTTTTAAAAGGTGGGTTCCCGCAGTATTGAGACGGTTAAGTAAAAGTGAGTGGCCAACGTTTTTAAATTTAGAAATTTATTCTGTTTAATCCACAAGCTTTATATAGCTTTAGTTTTAAAAAAAAAAAAAACAAAACAAAAACAAAAACAGTGAAAACAAGACACTATTTCAAAGTCTGGGCCCTTCCAGCCTTCCAAATACGAGAGAGCTCTGAAAGTTGTATATACCAGTTGGAAGAACAAGACAAAATTATGAATGGAGTCGTGACATTTCATAAAACAAACTTTTATATAACTGAAGGATCCTTCCTGGGACTAGTTAATTGCCTTTACAAAAAAAACACAACAGAATAGAATGAAATTCCAGTGTTCCAAATCAGCTTGTTACACAGCCATATAAACCCACAGTGTCCTGGCAAACAACATGCTTTCATTTTCCGTCTCCTCCTAGAGCTCGAATCCGGATTCATTTCAGCAGAGACTCCACAGGCAACAGGAAAGATTGTGGCATTAAAATATTCATTTATACTTTTGTGGTAGTTCGACAGTGGTCTTATTTCTGGGCTAGCTTGCAAACCACACAAGGTTGGAAGCATCATAACTTAAATGGTTGCTAAGACTC